GTTTTCAAATCATAATTAGAATTTGATATGCTTGCTTTTCAAAGTTAGCTTGATATATAGCAAGTGAAGTTAATAGAGAAGAGAATATTGAAGGTACTATCTTAATATATAAAGATACTACAGCCACTTTATACAGGTTAGCCTTTAAGTTACAAAAAGAATTTGATATATTCATTGTTCAAGTATGATAGAAGTGTTCAATAAATAGAATTGAATTGGATTTTTATATAGATATTGATATCTAACCTTATATATGAGATCTATATTGTCAAGAAGTAAGCAAATATTATCATCAGCTTGTTTACAGGGATAATTAGAATCCTTGGTTTTCATGTATTGTCCTAATAGATTTCCATAAGACATAGCACCTAGAGATTTGGACAATAATAGTACACCCCAGTTTTTTAGATATATTTAGTCTAGCCATCAACAAGTAAACAATGTCAAATTTGATAATGATGATTATATTAATCTTTTGAAAGAAATAAACTATCTATTTTTTTTCTAAAAAATTATGGAAGAGAAAAACTTATCAAAGCCCACTACTTGAAGAAGATTGTCACTTCTTATATGATTTCTAAGAAAATAGAGTTGACTAATCAAAAAAGTGATGAAATAAAGTATGGTATTTTTAGAAAAAAAAGAAAAATCTAAATAGAAAAAACTTTAGGAAAAGGAAAAACCTAACTTTGACAGGAAAGAAAGAAAAAGAGAAGGGAAAAGAGAAAGAATAAAAAAACATAAATAGAAGAGAGAGTAAGAAAAAAAGAAGGGAAAAGAAAAATAAAAGACTTGTAATTAAGAAGAAAAAAAGAGAAAGGAGAAAAGCAAAAAAAAATAAATACTCAAAGTTTCCTAAAAAAAAAATTTTCAAGTATAGAAAAAAGGAGTAGAAAAGAGTTTTTTACTATTTAATCGATTTATATATTTTTATATTATTTATTTATATATTTTATATTATATAAAGTCAATATATATAAAAAAATATTTTTTTAATCTTAATAAAAGTTCCAACTTCTATTGATATTTAAATTTAAACTCAAGTTTACTATTTTTTTGAAGTTATTAATAATTTCTTTAAGACTTTTACAAATTTAATTTGAATTAGATTCAATATATTATTATCAATATTAATTAAAAACCAATATTATATACTAGATAATCAAAAAAAAATTCTTAAATACTCTTGTTATATTTAATTATATCTTAAGATAAAAAATATTTAAAATCTTAAATTAATTTGAAACATTACTTATATTAATATACTTTATATATTTAATAATATTTTCAAGTTTATAGATTCTTTTTATTTCAGTTCTTATTTTATTTCTTAAATAATTATTACTTCTTTTAACTATAATATATCTTCTATTACAATATATATCTATCTCAAAGTTAATAACTTATTAGTCAATAAATAGTTATTAGATTATTAAATTTAGACTTAATAGATTAGATAATTTAAACTAATGATATTTTTATTTTTTGTTTAATAAGTTCTATTTAATATAAGAATTTATTCTTATAATATTTAAAAATTTATATTGTTAAGTTAATAATATAAATAGATAATATTAATTTTTTTTTTTTTTAAAGGTGAACATGCATCGATATGAATCTTTATTGATACATAATATTTAAATATAACATTAAGTGTCTTCTACATATGGAATCATCAATTAAAATATATACTATATCTTCTATATATAGAATTAATACTGCCTATTGACTATTTCTAATAATAGCTTACCTATTCATCTTTATTAATCCAATTATATCAACTTATATCTCATGGATGGGTCCATACTTTGGATGGGATAAATTCAAAGGATGGAAAGTTCTGCTATTAATTTAAATCCACCTTCCTACTAGATCCAGATTCGATAATCTTGTGATTACTTGTAGTTTAAGAACTATAAAATATTATTATAAAAACCAATTCCAGTTATTCTAGTTATCTGTTATTATATATATGATATAAATTATTTTGCTGTTGACTCAATTGCCAAAATCTACAAAAATAATTACATCTGATTCAATTATTTTATATATTTTAATAGTGATTCAATTAATTGTATCAAATAATTGTATTATTTGTATCAAGGATCTACTTATTTCTATCATATGTATACCTGTTAATTATCAGTCCTTAGAATATATCATTAGTATAGTATAGTATAACCGTTCTCACCACCTATAGCCATGGTATTCTTATTTGAATTCCTAATTATCCTTGTTTTGATTCACTTGACTTAATAATTTTTGCCTATCTTTTCACTATCTATGGCTAATGGCCTTACCTTATGTGACCCATATTTTTAAACTTGAAAAGTATTAGTATAGGATAAACCTTAAAATACCAGATTGAGATAGACTAGTTTAGGATTTGCCTTTTTTATTCACACTATATTATAGAGTCTGCTATGCCAAGGGGATTAGAGTTTGATAGACTTTTATCGGAGTTAGATAAAAAGCCTTTTCTTATGCAATATTTTCTACTTCGACCTGTTTTCAACTTGTGATTATCAAAAAGACTAGAGGTTCCATCTTCATATAATCTAACTGAATATAAATATGATCTGAATATCTGAATATAACATTTGTATCAATTTGATAAACCTATAAATGAAAAATAAATTTATACATTTGTCTTTTGTAGATATGGAACTAGGGACATGCATTTGGAGATCATGGAACACTATTTACTGTGCTATTGATTTATTGATCTTAAGTAATATTAATTTACTATAGTTGTTTATACATCAATTATATATAAAGATATTTTGATATCAATTGAGATATTATATTTCAATAAAGATTTGCATTGAAATATATTCACTTTAAAAAAAAAAATCAATCAATTATTATTATTATTTATAATTAATAATATATGTATATATTGTTATAATTAATATAAAATTGAATTTTTAAATTATGATTTAATAATAATAATAAATATAGTATATACAGTATATTTCTTAAATTATAAATTGCTTAATGGTTTGTCTAAATAATTTTAATAATATTATTTTAATATCATATTTAATTAGTAATTTAATAACAAATAAAAATCATTTATTATATTAAAATTCGAACTAGGTAATAAAAAGACCTAAAGATTTTACCGTATTCACCAAAAATAGAAATCTTAAAGATGCACACGGCGTTATCGGTTCAATCTGCTCAACGACCGATCCGTCTTATCAAAAGTTTATCACCATTGTTGTGAAACATCTCCCTGAAGTTATATGATAGTGCCGAAGGATTAACGGAGTTATAGCGTAGCGTTGGCGGAAAAATTCTTATAGTAATGAAAACGTAGTATTCCCTGTGTGTCATACCATGTGCTCTTGTAACCTAGTTTTTTCACTTAGTGAAGTAGGAATAAGTTCATTTATATAGTATATCAATTAGCATATCATATTGTAACAGATCGATCAAATATAGACCGAAGATGTATGGTTGTTATGCAGAAAATGTATATAAGGAATACTGCACGGGTTTTCAGTTTCCTTTTCAATTCGTGCTAAATAAGACTGAGGACTCAAAACAGACTCTAAAACAAGGACTTCCTAATCCCAGCGCACTTCTCAGTTGTATCTTACCCATCTCGAGACACATACCTCAATCCTCACACCATTTTTTTGCAATCCAGGCGTGAACAGCTTTCAACATGAGTACTTCTACCAGACGCGGTGCTAGCTCTCACTCAACCATTACAGCTACCGCCACCACCACCACCACCACTACTACTACTGCAGCGGCAGGCTCTTCTTCTTCTAGCGGAAAACATGTAACAGCTAATTTCAATCCAACCAGTAGCAGTGCGAAAAGGTAAAAAATATTTTCTTCCTCGTACATCGCTTTCATATTTTTGAAACTAGAATTTTATAATAATCGCGTAACATTTATTGATTTTACATTATGATCCTTATAATAAAATTCAACGTAAACCTTTGCTTCTTATTCAGGATTCAGAAAGAACTTGCTGAGATCAGTCTCGATCCTCCCTGTAACTGCAGGTTCGTTTTAATGATTAACACAGTGACCACCAATCTTGTCTTAAGATTTCCTTGATGCGTTTGAGTATTTAAGATTGTTGTATTATTATACGCCCTTAGTGCCGGTCCAAAAGGTGACAATTTGTACGAATGGGTGTCTACCATCACAGGCCCTGCCGGTTCTCCTTACGATGGTGGAATTTTCTTCTTGGATATTACTTTCCCACAAGATTATCCATTTAAGCCTCCTAAGGTAATGAGTTTATGTTATTTTTTTCTCACGATGATCGCGATCGTCTCCACATCGCCGACGCTAATGTGCTTCACAAGTAGATCGTCTATCGCACCCGTATCTATCATTGCAACATCAATTCATCGGGACAAATCTGTCTTGACATTCTCAAGGACAATTGGTCTCCGGCCTTGACGATTTCCAAAGTCTTGTTGTCAATATGCTCGTTGTTGACTGATGCTAATCCGCGTAAGTCGCGTTAATATTGCCTGCTGTTGAGAGAGCGACCTATACAATAATATATATTTCAAATATATCTACAGATGATCCTTTAGTCGGAAGTATTGCACATCAATATTTGCATAACCGTGAGGAACATGATAGGGTTGCTAAAGAATGGACTAAACGGTACGAGGGTTTCTATATTTCGTTAGCTCGTTCCTCCGTATTCTATGAAATTTGTGCGCTGACATCACATCATCATTTCATCACATCTAGCTACGCGTCTTGACTTGTCAGCCATTCCACAGTGAGTACCTGTAAATTGGTTTATTTATGAATTTTTCGATGGTTTATAATTTTGGTTTCAATCTTTTAATACAGGCTCAAAATCTTGATTTCTGAGCGTGGAGGCTTTTGCAAGTGATAAAAATTATAGACAGATGCGTTAAAGCTATAGATGTTGAATTCATGCATGTTTTTTAACAAGAAAAAAAAAAAAGCAAAAAAAAAAAAGAGAAAAGAATGAAAGGCTTGAACAATGTACATCAGTATCCATGAAATTTCACGTTGAAACATTCCACCGGTACAAAAATGTATATCTAAACAACTTCTAATACTTTATTATTATCCTCGGACCTTGTCTATCATGTCAAATAGAATTGAGACAAAATTTAAATAATAAACAATAAATACGCTATCTTTTCCCTCAAATCCATTAATTAATTATGATGATTAATATGAAAAGATTTTTTTCCGCTAGAAATGAAATGATTACGTATTTCTTTAGTAAATCGTGGTTCAGGTGTTATTATAAGAATATCCCAAGATCGATGGCAATTCGAACTTTCTAATATTTATCATCGGCTGTCATCAATCCGCGGGCGAACATATCTACGTAAACTTTGATTCTTTCGTAAGATGCGAAGGTGACAGCTTGACCCACACCTACACGCATCAAACGAGGAAAAAGACCTTTGTAGAAGGCCATGTAACCCTCTTGCTCGATGAGATTCGTTACAACACCCTTGAGCCTCGTCCAACCTTTTTCAGGACTGCTTGACCGTTGAATACGTGTTTTTATGGTGTCAATAGGAGCATTGGCAATTGGACCTGAATCATGATAAGAAGTTGGTTACTCAACAAGTCTTTTGAACCTCGGTCATCAAAGAAAACGGACAACCCCTTCCTTACCCATGGCACCGCTGATACCGCCCATCAACAAATGTTGGTAAGAAGGCAGCTCTTGACCATCCTTGGTTCCCTGTATTTTTTTCATTTGCTTTTTCATTTCCTGGTACACAGTGAAATTCACTGCTTGATTTGTGGCTTGCCTAAGCGCGGTCAAGGTCACGCCCTTATATAAGGTTAAAAACCCTTCTTCTCTTACAATGGTATAAGCGGCATGCGCCGCGTTTCGATATTTCGGAATGTCAAAAGAGTCGGTCATCGAATGTCGTTGAGCCTGCAGACGGATCTTGATGACATCCATGGGAGTTACAACAAGTACAGCTTCCGTAGTGCCCGCACCAAGCCCGGCTGAACGTTATGCGTAATGAACGCGTATGAAAAATTTAATAGATGGAATCACATGAGAAGAATAGATGAGTTAATTTTAGATAAGATCTTTTGTGTAATGTTAGATATGCTGATTAAAAAAATCAGAAAAGATGGATAATCAAAAAGATTTAGAATAGATCAATTGTTCCTAGAACACATTAATAATATTATTGCAAGTAACAGATGGCATACCAAAAAATGTAGACATGGTTGAGACCTTTCCCGTTGTCTTATCAGCCAACCAACCCTTGTACAATTCAAAACTGGAGAAACGAATGGCCATCTTCGGCACGATTCCTGTAACCACTGCACCAAGTCCTTTGTATAGGGCTAAGGGTGACTCCCTTCGTGTGATATTCAGAGCCACTGTAAGAAAACCGGGCCTCGTACTCTGTAAAGCACATTGTTGAGTTGAATCTTAATGCCTCGCTTCGTCGTTCACGTAAAATACAAATAAAATATAATCTACCTTCTTGTTCAACTGCATTCTCACTTTTATGGTGTCCAAAGGATGACAGCATAGTGCCTCCGTCAAACCAGCCCCACCACCAGCGAGGAAATGGATCAGGAGGCTTTTCTTATCAAGATTTTTTGACATGATGGGCGAGTAGGTTTGTGGATTTAGAGAGAAAACGAAGACGACAAAAATTTTTTTCTACCTTTTTTATTGAAGATAATGATCCGATCCTTTCCGTAAGGTAGTAGCAACATTTCCAAAACTGGACTTTTTGAAATTACGGAGAAGTCAAATGCAGCCACGATACATGTGGCTTTATGTATGTACGTGTGTGTGTGTGTGTGTGTAATGTGAGTGTACTCGAAGGCATCAAGATCGGCATTATCCGACGTTTTGTCACATGACAATAATGGTGCGCTGCGCGAGAAACATCAGCCTTGAGGTACCACATATGACAACCTCACAATGTACCACCAAATTTAAGGACCCCTTCGGTCCAGGAGTAACAAATGAAAGGCCTATAAAACCTTTAATAAATTCGACGTTTATAAATGTAAAATTTTTTTCGTGTGTTAGGTGACACCAGATTTAAGAAAAAGTTCCATAATAATGTGGTGACAGTGAGATTCGAACTCACGCCCCATTGCTGAGACTGCGACCTGAACGCAGCGCCTTAGACCACTCGGCCATGTCACCTGGATAGTATAAATTAAGGGTTTAGTGTTTTCCTTGTAGAAATCTCAAGTCAAATAATATCTTATGATCACACGATATATACTTGAAAAAATTTCTGGGAAGTGACTTACATCACATTTATTGAAGTAATACAGTATTTTGGAAACTAATTATAAGAAAAGATTCCAAACATACAGGAGGAATCTTACACTCGGTAAATCTCACAGAAGTTTCTTCTCATTCAA